TTGAAAGAACATCAAATTATTTAATTCCAACACAAGTCTGTAAGAAATTTCTAGAAATCCCGTCAAACGTTTCAATTATCCGTAAAATGACACATAAGCCAAGAAAATGCTGTAATATAAATGTTTCATAAAAACATGTTTAATTGCGAGAAGAATAACATATTTATCAAGATAATTGAGACGTGTATCTACTTTGCTGTTTAATTATAGATATCATACAGAATAAGGTTTATGGGGATCTGTATACTTGAATGTGACTTGAGTCACTAAAGACTATTTTTTGTCTATAAGAATTAACAGCAACAATATGGAGCATCTGTTTGGAAGAATAGAAATATTTTCAAATTAGAATATTAAAAAACAAAAATAAAATATAGACTACAGTAAACATAATTAATAAGTATGAATGTGATAAGTATTAGTAATGTCTGAAGTATGAGACTACAGTAAACATAATTAATAAATATGAATGTGATAAGTACTAGTAATGTCTGAAGTATGAGACTACAGTAAACATAATTAATAAATATGAATGTGATAAGTATTAGTAATGTCTGAAATATGAGACTACAGTAAACATAATTAATAAATATGAATGTGATAAGTATTAGTAATGTCTGAAATATGAGACTACAGTAAACATAATTAATAAATATGAATGTGATAAGTACTAGTAATGTCTGAAGTATGAGACTACAGTAAACATAATAATATAGTGTTTACCGTTTGAAGCAAAGTACAAAGTTTGAAAATATCGATGATACCAAATATTTATATTTATATACACATATAAAGTGGAAAACCACACGTGGAAGAAACGTTGAACTCTATTCTAAATCCATATTTTTAATGAATTTTTTTGATTCAATACATACCATTGTTTTCAATTTCTGTCAATTTCATGTGGTCGTATGTAGTCTGTTCACATCGAATATAGCTCGTGCATTGAAATAATAAGACTGTTGACTTGGTACACAGTACAAATACATTACGTTTAAGGTGTTCAAAAGAACAGAAGTTTGCTCTCGTGGAATGATTTCTTGTCTTAAACCTCCTTAGCATGAAAATGCACACTATATACACATATCTCTTACTAAATAACTGATTCATTTCTTATTTTTCATCTAACTGATACGGTAAAGATTTAGTTAACTTCTGCATAGGTTATTAGTTAAACATATGTTACTTCTAAAAAAAAAAAACATAATGGACAATATTATTCCTAAGTTGGCAAATTTTAAACTTGTACAACCAAGCATTATTGGACATTTGAAAATCTTTTACGAATCAGTGAAACAGTATAAATATATTATATATAATCACAACTCGATCTTTGACATATATATGTCATCAACACAATGTGAAAGTGCTTTTTTAATTAAGAGACTTGCAAGTACATCTTCTGGGTATTTTTACTAAGTTATTCTTGTCCAGAAAATCATATTATTTTAAACAAATAACGTTTGTAATCAAGAAGGTAAAGACCAAGGTAAAAAGATTTTATTCATATCTCAAGTGATCCATCTTGTAGATTTACAGTGAAAACAATTTTGAAAGTTAGGAAAAACAAAACAATTGTCAGCTGGACTGCAAGATAAATACCAGTTATTATAGAATAACACACAAGTAAAATTTATATATTGAAATAAGGATAACCTAATGAAATGAGAAATCTAGAATCAATTTTAAAATATTTTAATCCATATTAAAGGATCTGATGGTGTTGTTGAAAGGTGGTTGATATTTATTAATAAGGAGAACGAAAACTTGCTCATCCGTTACTAATAGCAGTTCAAAGAATATACTTATAATAAACTATCTTTAGCTTAATTCTATGAATGAAATTCAAAATTACAAACGTATTCATATTGATCAAATATCTAATGGTTCAGTTTACCATATAAATCTATCATTTGAGATCATGCTTCACGTTGAATTTACTCAGAACAACACAACATATATCTGTGCCTCATCTACCGAATCGTATTATATTGTGCTTCTTGGTAACCGTAATAAAAGAAAAATATAAGCTCTGAAAAGTAAGTTCTGTTGCTAGTACAATACATCATCAGCACAACAACACATCATGAACACACATTTGTACAAAACTTATATTGAACAAAGACGTACCTATAAATCTTGTAGAACGGAAGGAAACAAACCCACCACAAGTGTGTACAAACAGTAACAAATTGGTAAGATGTTGTTTACTGTTTGTGTACGAAGGTATGATTAAGACAAAAAGTACAATGCTTAAAAGCTCCGCCAGATAATGACAGATAATTATAATGGAAAGCTATTAACACTTTTTTATAAAAAGTCAACTAGATTGTGCATTTCATAGTAACAATTCTAGACTTACAAAACAGTATAGATTATTACTATAAATAATTAACATATAGACCGTAAGCTCAGTGATTCGGTATTTAATCTGGGACGAGTTCTTTTTTTCCTTTCGAAATGTTGATAAAATATGTAACAATAACAACAGCTTTTTTGTAATTTTCTAATAAATATTTTTAGGAGTTCGATTTACAGAAATGGAAACACAAACTACTTCATATCTAGTCATTAAAAACTCACTTTATAACTATGTAATACTCTGTATATACGATATATGTCAGAGTGCACATTTGTTTTTGCTTTTTCAAACTGCTCTTAATTTATCTATAAATTTCAAATCGGACCTGAATGATAGTAAAATTTCAGACCTATTTTTTTTGTTTCTGAAATGTCATTGCCAAGTAAGCCTTTTGTTCAATATCAGAAATCTTCAGCTGGGTTAGATGTTGAGAGACAAAAGTCCATATCTGAAGCTCAATATATATATATATATATTCAACATTTAAAAGTTGCGGTCTGAACGCTGAAACCTGGCGGAGAATTAGAAACCAATAGATTGTATATGTGGCTGTAGACTTTTTTCATATTATTCTTAATTTATCCGTTATGGATTTCAGTTTCTCATTTGAAATCCGTAATGGAGAATTAAGAGGAATGTGAAAATAAACAACTACAAAAAAAATTTGCAATGTGAATTGCGTCATAAATGTTAAGCCTATGCTTCGCCAGCTTTCACTGTTCTGACCATAACTTTAATAACATATTTTGTTGTATTTCCTTACATGTTTACATTCTCTCAAAATAAAGGTGCTAATGTACGTTGCTTGACTTCAGCGTGAGCACAGCGTCTTCTAAAAGTTTAGTAACAGCGCTATTAAAGTGTGTTTTAAGTGACGATTCGCTCAGTTCTAGAGTTAATCTTACTTTCTGTTAACAGAATGAAACATCTGTCACCTAAAATTCCATTTTTACAAAAACAAAACAATAAACAGTTCCTCGTATTTATGTAACAGAAATTTCAGGCGAATTAATTACAAAGGTAAACGATGGGTTATCTGTGTTCTGTTCACCGTGGGTATCGAAACCAGATTTTTAGTGGTATAAGTTCTCGGACTTACCGCTGAGCTTCAGAAATACATAAAACCTTTCTCCTTGTTCTGCAAAATATTGGCCGAACATTCAAAACTAATAAATTAATTAAGTCGGAGAACGACAAACATATATTGACAAAAGGAAACAAATCTAATTATTAGAGACATCTGTGTAACTAATTATCTGTAAAACAAGATTAATCTGAAGTTTCTACGAAAAAAATTATAACTTATGTTGTTCATTTTACACATTGGAAATGTGTTATAAGGTTTGTCATTAATAAACGTTTATAATGTGTAAAAATTACATTTCACTGAACGATACTATAATTTCAAAAATTTATTTACACTTTCAACTGGCTGTAGACATTTCACGAATAAAGCTTTTTCATGGTTTAAATTCATTAGTAGTTGACATTAATGCCAGCTCTAAGACGTCCATGATCTGAATCAACCAAGAAACAATCCATATGAATTATGGGACAAAACATACAAATTTAAACTAGAACAAAAAGTATCGACCTTTTATTCTTTATTTCATGATATTTTTTTAAATACAAACTAATAGTAAGTATAATATTTTGTTAATAAAAATTCATGCAAAAATAGTGACGTGATTTCTTTTACGCTAATATAGCCCGAAAAAAAATTCGCATTTAAACTCTACGATATAGAACTGAACTACCAGAAGCTCAAAAGAAAAACAGCAAAAAGAACGAAACGGTAGTATTATATTTATTATATTACCGCTATGGTCCGTGCGGAGACGACAATAACACAAGTAACGTCATGACAGTAGAGACGATGAGAAATAATGCCAGCCATAATCTATCACACACTAGCGACGTCTGGTGCCATTCTGTCTTGATGTTTTCTTTTCGTGCCTTTTCAGCTATTCGCATTTCATTTCTCTCAACTGTTTCATAAATTTTACCAAGGATTCTCAACACCTGCCTTTTGTATTCGTCATTAGAATAATCACTGGTTTCACCCATCTCCTTGCGCTTCCGAAGTCGAGGTGAGAAATTATATTGTTCGATATGTCCAAAATCAAACTTATCTTCATTTGATGACTGTCGTTCGAGGTTTGACTTTTTCTCGTCGTCCTTGAGCTTTAACTTAAAAAAAGACAAATCGAGTTTTTAAGTCTAAAACCTTTTTTCTTTCCAATAACAATACTTGTTTGAATTATAGTTGTTAAGACTGAATTGATATTGTCTTAACATAATTATAAAGATAAAGTCCAAGAAAGAGTTAACGCAACAGATGGTGTATAATTTTCTGCATTTTTGGCTTTTTGAATAAATCAGTAAAAGTAATGGAATCAGTCATATGATATGATATCTAAAACAGTTAGAAAAGATAGGTAAATGGCTAAATAGATTCATGGATAAACAAACAGCCAGGTTGATTTCTGAAGGCAGAAAAAGAATTAAAATAAGTTTAAAATGTTTTATATTTCTTTCAAAGTAGTCAAGATATAAAACACGGTTTAGTTACACTTCAGAAATGTTGGATGGTAATTAGCACAAATATTGTGTTTTTCAAAACGGTACAAATGATCTTCCCCCAGCACAGACACGCGTGAGCTTTAACACTATTATTGTAATGATATAAACACACGACTCGTCTTGAGGTTGCTAAGAGTACAATTGATGAGTAGTTTTTAGCTCAAAATTGTATTTATTTAACTATACATTATTGTGTTATGAAGTTACATTTTTATGAACAGTTCCAATTTCCATCGTTAAGAAGTAGCACATAGTGTATTTGTTTGTTGAGCCTCACGCAAAACTACTCGAAGGCTATCTGCATTAGCCGTTACTAATTTTGAAGTGGTAGACAAGAAAGAAGGCAGCTAATTAACTTCATTCACAATCGGCTCTTGGGCAGATGCTTTTGAAATAGTGTGATTGCCTGTCTCATTTTAACATCCTCCCCATGACTGTAAGGGCCAGCAGGTTCGGTGACGGGGTTCGAACCCGCGACCTGCAGATTAAGAGAGTCGAGTACCTTACCCATCAGGCCATGACAGGCTATACATAGTGAAAAATAATAGTTCTTCTTCTTCTGAAGTAATTTTTCAAATATTGTTTTAATGCAACGTTTGACTTAATTTACGTTATGAAATATCCGAATCTACCGACATTATATGTATGTATATTGTAAAACGTTCAACGCAAAAACTGTGCATCAACCAATATATATATATATTCTGTCATAATGTCTGTGTTGTCTCTAACTTAAAAATGTGTTTCTCAGAACAAAGGTTGTGTTGTTTTCAGCATTTTTTGCATTACAAATGAGGTAAACGAGAGCAATTATTAATAAGATATTATATGATAAATATAAACAAAAGTCATGACTGATTTTAAAATTGTTGTGGCTTAGTGAAACAGTTTGTTGTATTTTGGTTCAAGAAAAGCGAACAGCCTACCTCTGGCTCCTGTTCAGTGTGAGAGGAACACTTGGAGAATATTATCTTAGCAAGAAATCCCAACATTACGCTACGAATACACCGTGGAACTTCATTTTCAAAATTCCCTCGATGATGAACGTGTAATGTCAACACAGAAAAAATGGTCATCAGTGCAACTAAGCAGATAGTTACAACGTAGTACAGGCCTGACAAAAGAGAGGTTTCTTGTGGTGAAATTAACTTTCCACTGATCAGCTTTTCATTTGTTTTTGCAGTGGATATTTTAACAGAAGAAACCATTAAGGACTATACCGTTTTTTTAAATTCAAGAGAACTTTTTAGTTCTTTTGAATTAAACATTTTTACTTTCGCATCTTACAAAAGAAGTAATTGAGTAATTGCTCACATGTAAACCTTAGTAAAAACAAGCATTAGTGTAAACGAATAAATTATTTACTTACTTCGTGTTTATTACCAATAGACCTTAGTATAACAAAATTTCAATATTTTATTACTAAATAACACACTTTTTATTATCATTCAAGACGCATTTTTTTAAATTTATTGATAAACATATTTATAAAACACATTTTTTTAAATGTAATAAAGTTTCATTAAAAACACAATAATCATGTTCTGGAATATTTTATTAAACTGTAGACATAACATATTTTAACACAAAATTTAAATGTAAGTTGAAAACAAATTCAAAACGGAATGAGTCGAGGTTTATAGAGTTATTTAGATGCAGGTTGTTTGAATGTACTTACTAATTAAAGGCGTTTCTTGAGAGGGCGGTAAGGTATCTTTCACGAAGACAAAAAATATAACAATTGTTAAGAGTGTGCATATACTCAAAGTAACTTTTTCTCCTGACTCGCAAGGCATACAGAAGGTAAGTAGTGACACGCAGTTCATGAGTAGACACGGTAGGATCAGGTTAAACACATAGTACAACGGTCTGCGGCGAAGCTCTAAGGTGTACACGAGTTCAGGGTAAGGTTCTTCACAGCAAGAATACTGAAGAGTAGTTGAAGTGGCTGAAAATCCGTTCAAATCAAATTCCCCGTTTTCTTGATAGTCTCTCAGTTCTGTGTGGTCTTTTTCTTTCATTAGTTCAACCTACAGGCAATAGAAATATACGACGTGGGTATCTATCTTTCTTTCTAAAAAGTCAGCAGTCTATAAAATTATTCACTTCTCTCAACAAACACTATTTGTCTTCTTTAAATCCCTGAACAAAACGTCTAGTGTTTGTACGAATCTTCGGCAGTTTAACAAGCTAGAACATTGATATTCAAAGTAAAAAACAAAACAGCTGTCGCTAGCAGTTGGATGCTGACTTCAACAGGATGTTAAAACAACAAAGATTCGACGCTACTCAAGATTAGTTCCAGTTTATCCCACCAAAGTAAGGGCAGTGTAGGAAACTTGTGTTCAAAACATTTTCTTCTCCTTTTTAGGTAAAATACAGCTTTAAAATAGTTTGTAAAATACAGTCGAGTGTGAAACTTCTACTGGTAAATCTTAAGTTTTTTGTCTTGTAATTAAGCAATTCTACAAAGATGTGAAGTTACTGGCTTTGTCGGTTTTAGTCAGTCAAGAAAACGTTTGGTCTAAGAAAAAAACGACGCTATTTAATCTTGAATAAGCAATGACATATGTATTAGCCACTTTATCTAATGTCTTGCTAATTATTATTTGCTGAAATGACATATGTATTAGCCACTTTATCTAATGTCTTCCTAAACATTATTTGATGAGATGAAATATGTATTAGCCACTTTATCTAATGTCTTGCTAAACATTATTTGATGAGATGAAATATGTATTAGCCACTTTATCTAATGTCTTGCTAAACATTATTTGATGAGATGAAATATGTATTAACCACTTTATCTAATGTCTTGCTAAGCATTATTTGCTGAAATGAAATATGTATTAGCCACTTTATCTAATATCTTGCTAAACACTATTTGCTGAGATGAAATATGTATTAGCCACTTTATCTAATGTCTTGCTTAACATTATTTGCTGAGAAGACGTATGTATTAGCCACTTTATCTAATGTCTTGCTAAATATTATTTGCTGAGATGAAATATGTATTAGCCACTTTATCTAATGTCTTGCTAAATATTATTTGATGAGATGAAATATGTATTAACCGCTTTATCTAATGTCTTCCTAAACACTATTTGCTGAGATGAAATATGTATTAGCCACTTTATCTAATGTCTTGCTAAGCATTATTTAATGAGATGAAATATTTATTAGCCACTTTATCTAATGTCTTCCTAAACATTATTTGCTGAGAAACGTAATGGAGGAATGAGCGTTCAAGTTTTAACAAGTTGAATATTTTCGAGAAATTAAATCATTATGCCTTCATTTACTTTTCATAGAGTAATTTGTTTTAAGTGATTGTATTTCAAATAGAAAATATAAATATTTCACCCAAATATCTTTGCTAACATTTAACTTTTGCTAAGGGTAACTTTATGTGTGAACAACTTTACCGATCTGTATAATGTGATCCGATAAAGTTTGAAAATGTGTTTTGTAGAATTTGATGTAGTTAACTCAACTAATGGTATTTCTGATGTTGCAGAATCTCCTTCGGTATAAGTATCAACCACATCAGTTTATTACTTTTTTAGTGCTTATTCATCAATGAATTAACTTGACAAGTAATAATAACTGAATCGTTTTTTGTTTTAGTTGTATAGAACGGAAAGTCGAAATTGCAAAATTCTAACAGTTCCTAACTTTTTAAATAAATTACTAAATAAGACAAAAGCGGTTTTTGTTAACTTATAAAGTTTATGAACACTTGTAATACAAAAATTATGTGACTAAATGGAGAGACTCGTTTACTTTTATTTGTACAAATTGGAAAAATGTGATCAACGTGATATTCAAGTTCAAACTTTTACTACGCACCAGGTGAGTTTGTGGTAAAATGTCCTATTTTACAGGAAAACCTCAGGTGAATTGTTTACACTGACGTGAATTTTAACTTGACAACTGGACTCGAATATTATACCACAAATATCGTTCTTCTAAAGACTAGGGAGTTTACTGTCATACTTTTATAAAAATCTAATGCTAGAACATGGAGATTGGTCACTTGACAATAAAGCTATAATTATGTATTATTAATACATCTTGCATAAATATCGATAATTGAAAAGTCGTGTTGTAATCCATCATTCCTCATGATGTTTAATCACTAGAAAGTATAGGTCGTATTGTACAATATAACTAATGATTGGTTACTATATATTGGTCTATATACAGTGTATTTCTAATGTAGATTGGTTGCTTAATAGTCTGGCTCTAATGTTACAACATTCATATACGATGTATTTCTAATAAAATACCTGGTCACTGAAATGTCTGGCTCTGATATTACAACGTCTATACATATCTCATAGCGTCTGGTCAGTCACTTGATAGTCTATCTCTGATGTTACAACGTCTATACATATCTAATAACGTCTGGTCAGTCACTTGAAAGTCTATCTCGGATATTACAACGTCTATACATATCTAATAACGTCTGGTCAGTAACTTGATAGTCTATCTCTGATGTTACAACGTCTATACATATCTAATAACGTCTGGTCAGTCACTTGATAGTCTATCTCGGATATTACAACGTCTATACATATCTAATAACGTCTGGTCAGTCACTTGAAAGTCTATCTCGGATATTACAACGTCTATACATATCTAATAACGTCTGGTCAGTAACTTGATAGTCTATCTCTGATGTTACAACGTCTATACATATCTAATAACGTCTGGCCAGTCACTTGATAGTCTATCTCGGATATTACAACGTCTATACATATCTAATAACGTCTGATTAGTCACTTGATAGTCTATCTCTGATGTTACAACGTCTATACATATTTAATAACGTTTGATTAGTCACTTAATAGTCTGACTTTGACATTTAAACATCATAATTTTACGATAACTTAGTAATAATTCTTTCATAATTTAAAAAAGGATATATTTGTAACAATTTGCCACTTTTAACTACTCAGTTAAGTGCTATTCATGTGCATTAAAATACTGAAAATGGGGATCTTATATAATAAACAGGTAATATTACTTGTTTTAAGCGATCCGGGCTAGTAATTAACTTTCATTGAAAGCATATTGAAGTAACCTTAAGGCGGAACTTGTCAGTTTACCATTTGAATAAAAGCTGAATGATGATGAAGATGATTATGAGGTACGACACGTTTGAATCTTTTGTCTAGAAAACGTGTAATGATCACCATGTTTATCACTTTATCTTTTATCAGAGTAACGTGAACTTAAAGAAAAAAAAACGTGTTTTGAACTTATCTATGAATTGATATTCCACTATAACTCGATGTTGAACTTATATTGCGGCCTCGTAATTAGATGCACATAAATAGGGCCGTTACTTTCATGAGAACTGAAGCCAGAACATTAACGTGCAGTAGCACGTACTGATAGAATTTGGTGTCTTTAGTGCAACGGTAGAGAGACGATGGTTTATGAAATTCGATAACTTTACTTGATTTTACACTTTAAAGCTTGACTTTTGGTGGAAACTGACTTTATAAAAGATAAATATGAAAAGGACTATGGGACTGCATAGACTTACATTATAGACTACCATGGGACTGCACTTACATTATAGACTACCATGGGACTGCACTTACATTATAGACTATTTGTTTCTTTACATATGCTTGTGAAATGAATATATTTATAAAATAAACTGTCAGGTTACTTTGTCTGTATATGTTAGTGGTTTGAATACATTTACAATATCAACTGTCAGAGTACTTTTTTCGCATATGTTAGTGATTTGAATATACTTACAATATGGACTACCATGATAATTTGTCTGTCTGTACATATTAGTGACTTGAATATACTTACAATATGGATTACCATGATAATTTGTCTGTCTGAATATGTCAGTGACTGGAATATACTTACAATATGGACCACCATGATAATTTGTCTGTCTGAATATGTCAGTGACTTGAATATACTTACAATATGGACTACCATGATAATTTGTCTGTCTGTACATATTAGTGACTTGAATATATTTACAATATGGATTACCATGATAATTTGTCTGTCTGAATATGTCAGTGACTGGAATATACTTACAATATGGACCACCATGATAATTTGTCTGTCTGAATATGTCAGTGACTTGAATATACTTACAATATGGACTACCATGATAACTTGTCTGTCTGTACATATTAGTGACTTGAATATACTTACAATATGGACCACCATGATAATTTGTTTGTTTGTATATGTTAGTGACTTGAAAACAATATGGAACATTAGGGTACATTTTCTACGAGAGTGTTATTATCGCAGTCTGATTTTATACATATATTACATTCAATTGCTGATCATCAAATTCTCATATTTCCGCACAATTTTGCAATGATCGCCAGCGTCTCTGCTCTTGATACCATTTAGTGACCTTATATGAAGGTGATAAGAGACGATTTGATAAATGAGTACATACGGGTAAGTCAACTGAAGATGATGTTTGTGTAATGTGTGTTTACTATTGCCTGTTGTCTATTATGACAAGTCACGTTACCATATTGTTATGATCCTGCCGTGTGAGTTAGAAACTAGACATATTCTTCAGACATTCAATCGATGAACCGTTTTATTCATTTCATCTGACTGACAGTTACGAGAGTGAATTGTGCCAGTGTTTACTACTTAGATGTTGACTAATTGAACCACTAAAATATCATTCGCAGATTGAGTATTTTCACGTAATAAACTTTCTAACTTATGATTAAACATTGAGTGTAAAAGTTATACAAAAATTATTTTAATGCATTAGTTAATGGTTATTCAAACCCGAAGTGTTTTAATCATGTATCATTAGTAGTTGAAGCTACACATTATTTCTGAACACTCTTAGTGAAGGAAATGTTTATTTTCCATAAAGTATTTAACTCACTTGTAAGCCATCGTAAGTTCCAGAGGCAAACCTCATTGTACAATACTGGACGTCAAACGGAAAGTATTTGATGTCAATTTGACAAGAACTTCTCAGCAGAGCTCTTGAGAACCAAACGACTTCTCCGGTGTATTTAACTATAACGTTGGTGTTAACATGGTCAGGGGGCTTCTCCGTGTCAGCGCTGCTTGTAAGGATATACCAATTAAATATTATATCCACAATAAAGATGTTAAAGGTAAAATCCTTAAAAAAAGAGTAACAAGAAAGCACAAAACTTAACTTATGATAGCACAGAGAATGCGACGAAAGATTATTAGTAATTGCGTAAAGTTCTTTCGTAACACAGGAGTTCAACTAAGAATTTAGACAAATCTCTTGTCGTGAAGAAAGTCTTATTGTAGACCAATACCCAAAAAGTGCAACTGAAATTTGCTTGTAACTGCCATTAACGTAAAAATATCTGTTTACGTGTAGACCAGTGTGTAACATATCTTCATCATCCATGCCATATAATTGACTGAATAAGCATTTTGAAAAGAAAATAACATTTGTGTACTTGTTTAGATAAATTTAATTATACATTTGAATATTCAGTTGTTAATTACATAATTCGTATCATTTCACTATGTCGTTGCACTGAACAGATAGAGCCTCACTTTTGCATGGTGGATCCGAGATGACTGCAGAGTTAAGACTGAAAAGGTTGATCAGTTCTCATGTAAGAGTGAGCAGTGTATACTTTAACACGCATCTTTACCTTTAAACATAATATGTGGGGTTGACTAACCCAACTTAAAAACCATAATATCACCTATAAAATCTTTAGCTACACGGCTGAAGTTCAGTACACCATGTTTGCAAGAAGTCATGATACGTCTGAATTGGGGCAGAGTATTTGGGGCTATTAATCAAAACACTAACTGCTAACAAATTTATCCGTTTTACTTGTTAAACAGTAAGATGTCTGGTCTCCACACTTGACTTGCTGGCACCCGGATCACTGGAATTCCGTTGAAGTCAGTAACATTCCATCTTAAATGGTAATCTGTCCATTTCTGGAAGTGCGACAGAATCTTAGTAACCATAAATTGAATAAAAATCTAAAGGAGAAACATTTTACAAATAAAATCTCATTCACAAGTAAAACAATTGTTATTATATTTCACGCCACAGTTGAAGTATATATCTGCCTATTCAAACATGCATACATAAATGTATATATATATGTATAATTATCTAAGAAAAAATTCGCAAATATATATATATATATACACACAAGTACATGGTGTCCGAAAAGTCTGGAATCATTGGCAGTTAATCGAATCTTACAGAATGTTTTCCACCTGCTGTCCTTGTAATTCGAATCAAGTTTGGATTAACAGCATGATTAACTCGACCATGCTTTGACAGCACCATAATCAGTCACGTATCTGAACTTAAGAGAAGGTGCAAACCACCTATGGTTCCAGACTTTCCGACGCCCTGTAGTGTACAACAAATCGTTTCAGTTACAAAAACGTTTAGGATATACATTCCTAAGTTATTTTTATGCTTTTGAAAAACGTAGCTTAGAAAAATGTATCTTGTGAACAGCAGTTGGTTTTACATCTGACATGAAGTGTTACTGGTATATGCCGAAAATATATTCTGTATGCGTTATATGATATATTGAGTTTTTGTACAGTAATTGCTCTTTCTAATACACTTTCAAATATTATATTATATATCCATAGCCACGAATGTTGTTTCAACTTGTATATATTGTGAAGCAATAAATCATCTATTTATTTTGCTTCCGTACTAAATAATACGCTATTTAGAAATATTTGTTTAAGGCTTAATGGAAATTTTGAACAGAACCGACCATAAGCTTTAATGCCATTTTTCCCTTTCTATCGATAATATCCCACACGATATTTCCTTCTAGTTTTAAGTTTAGTTTCATACGATAAAATACTGATTAAAGACATTTGAGTGATTTCGAAATAACTCCTGAACTTTACACACTATACCTTGGGTTCATTTCAACTAATTTTGTTTTAGATGAACAGTACTTTGTTGTTTAGTTTACTTCCTTTTTTTCTGTTTTGCAGATCTTTGTAAAAACATTTATGTTCATATATATTATTATTTGTATTAAATTTTTTTTATCCCTGCTTGTAAATATTATCCACCATAAAACATGAATGCATACTATTACAAGTAGCTGATGATGGACTTTGTTGATTCGGTAGCGTTCGAAGATAAAATATTTTTAAAACTTTTGTTCCTGTTTAACTTGACATATCTACATCGCCTTGATACACACAGTTTTCTTTTTTAACACAAATACGTTTTAATATACACACAACAATATAATTTACAATAACAGTTATTACAAACAATGATTTATAAACAAAAGTTTCACAAACTTACAAGTAATATAAAGTCTTTTTTCTAGTTTGGAAATTCCTTGATATCTTATCGAGGGTTCACGATGAGCGAGTTGATTACGAGTTGATATAGGTATAATTCACTTAGTACGAAGCTAGCTAGCCCTGTAGTTCTCGCTAATCACACGCCTATTAAAGATTGCGTTTCCACCGATGACGTTGGGTAATGTTTTCGTAAAAATATTAATGTCCGATGAGAATCCACTGAAGTTAAATGAGTCGTAATGTTGAAACTTTGTAAATGCTCCTGGTCAAATCTCTGAAGTTTTCCGATTGGTAAGCGTTATAACAATCAGTTATAGCTTTCGAAGTTTTAAAGCACACTGATTATAGCGAACTAATAATACATACTCTCCTTGGCGCGTCACGTTGGTTATATTTATAGCCGTGAGAAGGTTTTTCTAGAAATTACAGATTACCTAACAATACAATTTAAGTA